GGAAGGAAGGAAGGAAGGAAGGAAGGAAGGAAGGAAGGAAAGAAGAAAGCTCCAAACACTGCTACTGTTTCTCTCTGTTTTTCCCCCTTGTAACTAACTTTTAACTATGAAAAACACTCTGGCACTTTTATACTGTAGAGTAATATGTAGGTAAGACTTATTTTCCTTGGGGTACTTGCGGTCCTGGATTTTTACATTTTGTCTCTCAAAAAGCCTTTAGTCTTTTTGGAAGTCACCCCACTGGTGGCCTCCTGTTTTCACAGGCTCAGTGGCTGATGTGTGGGAGAAGAACTGAAGAAAGATGATAGTGAAAGCAAGGGGTGTTAGGAGATTTTAGCGGAGACTCTGGCAGACGTTCTCAAAAAAGATGCTACTGCAATCAGTCGTTGAAACATGTCTTCGTAATGACCAGTGACCTTGGGAAATTCTCAGACTAAAGCAAGTTGTCAGAACTGAAATCTGCTTCCATCAAGACTTTGGTTTTGATGATAATACTGTGTATACCTTCAGGGCATCTTTGTGGATTTATAGCTCTGTGGGTATGTTCCACTCAGTCTATAGTCATGCAGTTTCGTGAGTTCACCTCTAGTTAGGTCTAGGTGAAAAGTGTTGCATTTTTGTATCACATAAACACTCCTTAAACAGTTTTCTTATAATTACAAAGCATAGCAAACATTGCTTGCATATTTTATAAAGAAGTACTAATTACTGTGTTTAATACATATCATTAGACGAATTTTTATAGTTTAAGTGAGTGATTAATAGCCAAATAGTAAATACTAAATACTTGAATGACCCACCAAAGAAATCGTTACTACCAACAGCCTCATTTCTAATGAGTGAGTGAAAATATGCACCCAGAGACTCAGTTGGTAAAAGTTACAGTTAGTGTATAATGCAAAAATAAAGGGGCCAGAGGCATTCATCTCCTATCGAAATAGTGAAGATTTTTCTGACTTAATACTGTAATTTCATAAGAGGTACGTGAGGTAAACTGCATCTATTTCTATCAAAAGAAAAAATGAGGAGTGGTCATTTAGAGTCAGAAATGGTGCTGCAAGCCAGACTTGGCTGAGTCTGCTGCCGGTGTCCTCTGATCTCACATTTAAACCTTGTCCTCCAAATGAACGAAATGGCCGTTTTTCCCCCGTCAAATGTTCAACAGACCTTTTGCCATTTGATAGGACCATTATTTTAAAATGTGATCTGGAAAACAACACTGACTCTGTGGCATATTTGCTATTCTTAGCCCGGTGAAATAAGCTGGAAGTAGATGAATCATGCAGGTTAGAAGGGAAACACATGCTGGAGATTACAAATAGAGAGGTTTTCCAGCAACGAGACTCTCATTTTAGGACTAGGTTTTTGTTGGCATGTTTGGCATTATGACGATTATTGTTTTTCTTTCCAGCTGTTACACATCTGTATTGAAGGCTGGGGCAACTGGCGCTGGTCAGAGCCCTTCAGTGTGGACCATGCTGGGACATTTATTAGAACAATTCAGTACAAGGGTCGAACAGCTTCACTCATCATCAAGGTCCGTCCACTCAGCGGAGTGCAGAAACAGGTGAGTTGGTTCCCTTGCGTTCACACTCAGGCAGCTCCCAAGTCTTCACGTAATGGACATGAGTCCTATTGTATTCGGGTAATACGGTTATGTGCAGGAACACAGCGAATGAAAGCCCTGCTGGTGATGGTGGCTCCAAACCCCTGTCCCTGTCTTTTACAGGAGTTGCTAACTAGCAGTGAAGTTTACTGATCTTAGTTCCTTCTCTCCCTGTCACCACCTGCCTTCTGGTCGAGGTGCTAATGAGCTGTGAAGTAGCCAAAGGGCCTTTTCTGAGAAGGAGAAGATGCAAAGAGGAGTGGAACCCACCCGGATAACCGAGAGTCACTCCTCACGCATGTGCACATTGGATAACGTGTGTGGAAGTGTTGCGGTTCTCCCCTGTGACAGACTGAGCCCAGGCTCCAGCAAGCTTTCCTTTCCCTAAGAGTTAATATTAACTGCAGTAAAAATTCACTGCCGTCTAACTCTTGGCATATAAAACCCCAGCTCTCAGCGCATATTTCTACGTATTTTATAAAACTTCCTTTTGGCCGTTTTTGAAGTTCTAAGACTGCAAAGGGAAAAAGTATCTGACACTTTTTTTCTGTGTTCTTAAGATGTGAAAATGTGGTTTCTAAAAGATGTTTTTCAAGTATGGGGCATATGACAAAAGTAGAAAGGGGAAAAAAGGAGGAAGTATTAAAATCTGAAAACTGGCTTCTCCACACACACAATAGCTGGGTTTGTCGTAAGGGTTTTAACATACAGGTCTGCATCTGGATTGTGGCAGGCAAACCAGAGCTCATGTGAAGGACTGGGAACATGATAGGACAGCACTTAGTCCTGGGAAAGGGGTACCCTCTGAGGGACCCCCAGGGGCTTCTCAAGAAACAGGCAGGCAGGGACTGGCAAGAGGGAGAGCAGGCCCTACCACACATTCTTGGTCTGTACCTGACCAGGGAGCTGGACTTCAGGTTCTCATGATTGTGAACAACAGAAGTAAAAACAGGACTCAGGGCCCAGAAAGACAGGAATGTGGGGGAGGAGCATCCTATCAGACAGTCTCTCCTCAGAATGAGTGTTGACTGTGCCCAGGACAGGATAAAATGCAAGACTCCCAGGATGGGACACAATCTTTGCTCTTAAGTTGCAAACTCAAGCAAGCCCTGGCCTGGGTACTACTGTGTAAAGGGAATTTAGAGGCCTCACTGAAAAGCTAGTGCTCCATCGAGTCTTTGAACACACATCATCAAGCAGACAAGGACGTACGTGTGAAACAAATGAGTCTTTCTGAAGGACTTCGGCGACCTGCCCGCTGGTGTGAGGGAGAATCTCAAGGAGCACGTATTCCCAGTCCTGTGGCCCTAAGAGTTCTGATGTGGTTGTGCTCCTCTATGGCAAATGTACACTCATTTTCTGGCTGCACCCCTTGTGGTCATTCAGAAATACATCATCATTCACTAGCATGTCTGGGGAAAGGTCCCCCACCTTTGGTTTGAGTAGTTTAGGCAAGAGGTCTGACCCCTCATACCTCCCAGTCTACCAGCTCTTAGGAAACTGGGTACAGAATCGTCTACCAAGCTCTTACATTCTCCATGGTTGCAAGGCATACAGAGACAGCACACAACTTGCTGTGAGGGCTCTGTGAGCAGCCTCTGCATTACAACAGCACCTTAGAAATACAAAGCACAGACAACAAGACCATACTGGGCAGGCTGCGTTTAGATATTTGCATATACACATACACATAATAAAGAAAAAGAGGCTACCAGTTTGAGAGTCTGGGCAGCACATGGAGGAGGAAAAAAGGGAGAGTGAGATAGTTATATTTTTATTACAAGTATATTTAAGGGGATGGACAGATGACTCAGTGGTTAAGAGCACTGGCTGCTCTTCCAGAGGACCTGGGTTCAATTCCCAGCACCCACATGGCCACACACAACTGTGTGTAACTCCAGTTCCAGAGGATCTGACAGCCTCATACAGACATTCATGCAGACAAAACACCAATGCAGATAAAATAAAAAATAAAAAAATTAAGTATATTTATAAATAAATAGGAAAAAAGAAAAACATTCCAACATGGATGGGAAGGTTTGTAAGTCCCAGCAATAGCATACACAATACAAAAAACAGTTTCTAAAATCTTACCCAAGTTTTCCCTCTCTCCACCTCTGTCCTTCCAGCTCATACACACAAGCAATATTTTAAATATTTTTCAATTGGATTTTATTTCTGTTGGCATGATAATTGAATGTTCAGATCTGGTGGTGGTATGGTACATTCAAAATGCAGGATTTTTTTTCAAGTGGTTGAGGTTAGGAAGAAAGGAAGTAATGGAGCTTCTGGGATCTTTGTCTCTTTCTTGTCTTGGCCCCTTTCCTCCTCTCCCACCTGGATTTAGAAGTCTGCGATAAACAGCAGCTGCCTGATACCGAGGCTCATGGGATGCCGGTCCCTGGCGTGCTTCAGCACACTGATCTGCCCCTGGACAGTGGAGAGTCGGCCAGAGCTCTCGTTAACACCGATACCCAGTCCATCTTTTTTATGTCATTTCTCACAGTTGCATAGACTGACCATGTGCACAGTTTTCCAGGGTCTTTGTGTCTTCTGCTGTGCAAAGGTGGTGTCCACATTTGCTTCTTTCTACGTTTCCTGTCTCTTCACTGAACAATCCCCTACCTGCCTACCAGTCTAAAAGCTCGAATGCATGCATCCGTGCATCTCTGGCCATTCACTTTTAATGACAGTGAGGGTACCATTTTCCAGTGCATCTGGTGCTCTGCAGTTTTCTTGGCACTGATCTGATAAGAGCTCCGAAACCTGCTAAGTAAAATCATGTGTAGAAATCTTGAGTACACATCTTTTTGGCTTCGGGAAGAGGAACTAGTGTGAAACCTGGAAATGTGTATTAAAGAGAAACCCTACATTTAAAAAGAATTTACGTAGCTGTCTTCAACTGTTAAATTAATCTTGAAATTCTAACCATGATTTGCAAAACAAAGGCACTGCAGGTTGGCCAATGTGAGGAAAAGCAGAGGGAGCTCTCCCTGAGAGCAACCTGCAGGTGTCTGGCCATTTTGAGTTTCCCTCATCTAAGGACTCTTCCCTCCCTGGCCATTTTTTAAGGATTTTCCATGTTTTCAAATCTGAAAGCCTCTTTAAAGGGCTTTTTACTTTAAAATGAAGCTGTAAAAACCCACCAAGAGGATCTCTGTCTTTGGAAGAAGTGAATCCCAGACGGTTGCAAAGGTGCTGTGGTTTCTGTAAGAGAGCTGAACACTCTCCCTGACCTCCTGGGCCGCAAAGGTTGTGAAGCAGGCTGCATGCAGCATTCGAATTGCCAGCCCTGCCTATGTTAAGAGCAAGCCAGGTAGATACTGCCTTGGGGTTTCCAAATGTCTGTTTAAAACCAGATGCTGTGTGGCATCAGAAGATTTACTACCGTGAGTGCCGAGTAGCCCCTAGCATATATTAAAAGAAAGCTTGCCTATGGCCTCAGGACTCACAGTTGAGTCTTAGGGTTTGCTTTTGTGAAAGCATAGTTCTATCTAGAAGATTATAATGGCTAGCGTGTCTAGGGAAGTATGGCCGTGGAGAGCAGCTTGTCTCACAGATGCGATCCTGAAGAAACTGACGCAAGTAGCTGTGAAGCAAATGTTTGAGAAAATGCTAGGAGTTGGAGAGATGGCCCAGGGCTTGAGAGGGCTTAATAACTTCAGTTTCGGGGGATGGAAGCCCTCTGCCCGCCAAAGGTCCCTGAACGCAGGTGATCCACACAAATTCACGAAGGCAAACACATACACATCAATAAAATAAATCTTTAAAAATAAAATGCCAAATCCTGCTACAAATAATGCGATGTACCACAGAAAGGTCACTTCATATTTGGTCCCTCATCTAGGTTTGTCCTGGGTAGATCATAATTCACTCAGATACAGTTACCCTTGGGGCTGGCGAGGATGACTCAGCAGGCAGTTAAGGGTGTGTCCTGCTCTGCCAGAGGCCCTGAGTTTGGTTCCCAGAATCCACAATGGGTGACTCACAACCACCTGTTGCTCCAGCTTCAGGGGACCCACACCCTCCTCGACACACACACACATACACACAGACACACACACACACACATATGTATATACACACATACACATATATACACACATGTACACATGCACACATGCATGCACACACGCACACATACACACACACATACACGAGCGTACGCACGCACACACGCACACCAGTAAAAGTAAAAATTCAATCTTTAAAAAACAGTTGTCTGTTTATTCGTGTAAATAATGTTGCACTGAAATCATGGTCACAGTGTGTTCTGAAGACAGGAAATGTCTTGACTTTCAAGGTCACTTATATGTTGACATTATAAATTGTGCTTTTTAGTCTTCGTAGCAAGATGATGAGGTCGACCCCTTGTTTTGCATTTTGTTGCTCATCAGAAGGAGGAAGGCAAGCCAGTGTTAGTTAACTCAGCGTCATTGCTGAGTCTGCTTCCCTGCCTGTCTCTGTGACTTCCTAATCTCAACATGGCTACACACTCTCAGCATATCCTCTTATAAAGACATCATGACAGGTGCAGGGGGACTTTCTAAGTCCCCGATTATCTCTTTTACCATTGAAGAGTGAAATCTTCACATTAAAAACACAATCCATGTTTACCCCAGGCATTGAAAATAGGAGAAAGGAGTTACCTTATACCACCCGCAGAAAGGTACCTTTCTGTCCTTGGTACCTAAACCAACTCAAAGTGTTTAATAGCAAGGGAAAAGGAACACACGCTATTGAGATGAGCAGGGAGCCAACAGTGCTTGTCAACTTTATGTTATTGTCTTTCTTGTAAAATCTGAATCAATGAGAAGGTACTAGCTGTTTTAAGACATGTTTACTGGGGTTATCTTCGATATAGACTACGGGACAGGTTCTGTGGGAGCCACCTGGCAAGCTACTCAATATCCACATACCTCTATTTTCTTCTTATCAAGGGGACTCATACCCATACCTACTTTATAAGAATTAAAATGGTTAATTTGTGAAATGATTTGTATTGAGTTAGGGTTCTCTGATAAAAAAGAGCCAATGTAGTATGGGGGATTGATTGATTGGTTAGTTGGTTGGTTGGTTGATTGATTGATTGACTGACTGACTGACTGATTATAAATCAGTTCCCACTACTATGGAAACCAAAGTCCCAAGATCTATGGCCAGCAAGTCGAAGAGTCACTGTGCAGGTCCAGTCTGGCCCTGAAGTCCTCAGGACCAGCAGAGGTGCCCAAAGCTAGCAAGTATTTCCATTTGAGTGAAGTGCTGGATAAGACCAGTGTTCTACTCGGCCAGCAAAATCCACACCCTGGTACTTAGCACGGTTCACGTTGACTGCAGTCTGCTCTGCTTAGCCTGCCCATTCACATGGTAGTGTCATCCTGAAATGTCCAGAATAAATGACATCTGACTAGATGTCTGGGCAAACCACTGTGCAGTCAAGCTGATACATTAAGATTGGTTATCATGTGCTTAGCCCTGTAATAATAATATGTGTATTAGTTACTGATACTGTTTCATAATCTGGAAAACATCACAAGTTGGTGATACAGCTTATAAAAGTATTGTATTTAGGGTCTGAAGTTATAGCTCGGTGATAGTGAACTTGCCTAGGATGTGTGAAGGCCAGAGCTCATTTCTAATACTACAAAAAAGAGGAAAGTCCTTTTGCCTTAGTAATGGAGAATATTGTTTAGAAGGGTTTCCTTTCTAAAAATATTAACTATGTAAGCATAAATTTCACAATATCTTTCCAATTTCAATCAACTTAGAAAATATTTCTTACTACGCCCTATGGCCTGTACTCTTATCTGGGTGCAAAATTAGATAATCCGTAGGTTTAATGGAAACTTCTATTGCTTATTTTTAAAGTTGTATAGTTCTATGATGTAGAAAAACAAAATGTAATTCTGTATTTCAGTCAAAGCTCATTTGTATTAGTTTCCGCCGATGCCTCTTAATAGATGAGATGAGCTCTGGGAAAGCAGCCTGGAGGAGTCGTGATGACAGCTGCTCTCGCGCTACCAGAGCTGAGTTCTGGCTCTCACTTCCCATGCTTCTCCACTTCCTAGCGGTGGTCGGTACTAACCGCCATTTCCTGCCCAGCCACCTCTCAGGCAGGCTCCTCTTTATATCCCGTCACCCTTCTCCTCCAGCCCCTCTCTGGCTTCCCATTCTGAGTCTGTGGTAATCGGTGGGTCTGACCTTCCACCCTGTCTCCCTGCTGAACAGTACGCTGGTGTGCTTTCAGGACTCACAAGCCTTTAGCTTCAGTCGTCTCTCAAGAATCTGCCTGTTTCCGTATGTGTCTCCTCTTTCAATATCGCCAACTCTGTATGATGAGAACAAAGTTAAAGTCGCCGTTCCCTGTCTTGCTTCACTTGTAATGAAGGGCCTTCCTGAAGGGATACATGTTTCTGGTTAATGACATCCAAACTGGTGACTCCCCTGTGTATTTATGTATTGTCTTTTAGATTCTCATCTGTGGAAGACAGGTCATCTGTAGTTACTTGTCTCAGAGCATAGAACTGAAAGTTGTTCAGCATCACATCGGCCAAGATGGACAAGCCGTAGTCCGAGAACACTTTGATTGCCTCACAGCCAAAACGAAATTGCCTTCCTACATTCTAGAAAACAGTGAACTGACAGAGTTGTGTGTGAAGGCCAAAGGAGATGAAGACTGGTCACGAGACGTGTGCCTGGAACCCAAAGCCTCTGACTATAGCACTGTCATCCAGGTATGCGAGGTATTGACAGAGGTGTTGGCATCTTAACAGAGTGGCTTCAAGAGCAGGAGCGGTCTTGGTGTACACTTCACTTGGTTTGTCTTTGCTCTGTAGTAAAATCACAATTGTTATGTGCAGGAGAAGCATAGAAAGACTTGGGTGAGTACCTCAGGCTACTGGCTCCCTGTCAGTCCCTCCCAGGCGCTACTGCGAGGCCTCTTCAGAGTCTGATGACTGGGGCTGAGGTGGGACTGTGGAGCAAGTCTTCTGCCCCCCAGTCTGCCTCGCACCACTCTGCATGCGCAGACTCAGTCACCTTGTGGAGAGGGCGCCCTTCATCTCTCCATGTTCTGTCCACACCACCATAAAGTCTGGTGGTTTCCTTAGTGGCTTTTTCCTACAACTGTCAACTTCTTTCAGTGTCTAGCCTGATACTCTGTGACTTATGGTGCTTACTTGTTTACCACGCTGTTTGGAGTCTAACGGGGCCTTTCCCATCTCACACGCAGGTGCCTGCTTCAAACAGTTCCATTATTTACGTGTGGTGCACAGTTCTGACTTTGGAACCCAACTCTCAAGTTCAACAGCGAATGGTAAGTGCTTTCCCAACCCTGAAATACGGTGTACGACTCTGACCTTTCCTATTCTCAGATAAATAAGGTCAGAGCGACCCAGGGAGGAGATTTATTACAAGTTTGTTTCAGCGTCCAGCAGCTGGAGTACTGCAACAAAGCAAATATGAAAGTTGTTCTGTCCTCTCTCTCATTTTTATAGGTCGTGTTCAGCCCTCTTTTTATCATGAGGAGTCATCTCCCAGACCCCATTATCATACACTTGGAGAAAAGAAGTCTGGGACTGAGGGAAACACAGATTATTCCAGGAAAAGGTCAGGAAAATCCCCTGCAGAACGCAGAGCCCGACCTTGTACATCACCTGACATTTCAAGCACGGTACGGACAACACAGATTCTCTAAGGAAGCTTGGTTGAACTATTTTGGTCGCATGGATGCAGTCTCGCTGATGTGTTGATCTGAAAAGAATGTCACTTTAAAACTGCTCAGTCTCATCCATGGGCTCAGAATTTGGCCTTTTTCATTAAGCTTATAAACAACCAAGTGGAGTCGTTAAAAACGTAATTTAATTTAGATTTGATTGGCACGTTTCTGCAGAGAAGAAGAGAGGATTAGAGATCTCAGCCAAGACCCAAGTCGTCTAATAAATGTCATAGATCTCTAACTCACAAAAAAGGGGGGAGGACTCCCCACAAAACACTCTATCAATCTACTTACATTCAAAATTGGGCTTTTCCAGTAGATTATAGGTCACTCAGAAACATGATAATGTCTCTTCTTTCCCTTTCCTAGGGAAGAGCATGGCCCCTCAGACTGTG